AATATCCCCGACCAAAGGAGGAGTAGTCCTTGCTGCATAAGAGAGGAGCAAAAGATCAGAACCCACGTCTAAGCAAATAAATCAAAATGCCTCACTAAGAGAAATTAGACACTTACGAGTGTAATTCCAAGTCTCGGGACCACGTCTTCGGTTCTGATAAAGAAAAAATTGTGCAAGAACTGATGGTTCGCCTTGTCGTCCATCTACACCACCAGGAACTTACTCCCACGGTGGCGAGGTGTAACATTGTCCCCCTAAAGAAACTAGGGGCGAAAAGATGCATCAGATGCCGAACTGTGATCTCGTCCTCGACCAATTCTGCAAACTTGGTAAGCATCCTAATGAGCTTGTAGATGTACGGTATAAGCTGAGCCGGGCAAATGCCATAGAAATGGCAAAACTCATCTGCCAATGGGAGAAGGGGGAGAGTGTAGCCGACATGGAAAGGGTAGGAGTAAAACGCCCAGTACTCAGGGAAGTGGACCTGTACCATATCCCGCTCTGCAAGGACCAACTCGATGCGAGCAGGGAATGTGGAATTTGGCTGAACTCTAGTAAATCAACCTCCTTCATCGCCGACTCGGAGGCCTCGGGCTCAGCATCAGGCGCCTTTGTGAAATCACACCTGATCTTCCTGCCACGAGCAACTATCTCCTCCACCGCAGGGAAGTCCTCATCTTCAACGGCGATAGAGACGGCCCCCGCGTGAGGAGGGAAAACCATCGCCAAGGGGACTAGGTAGTTTCCTCGTTGGGACCAGAAAACACGTTAGCCATAGTTCCAACGAAAGAAGGAATATTCGAGTGAAGAAGGGCTAAAAACAACTCGAGTGAAGAAGGGTTAAAAGCAACTAGAATCACCGGAACCAGGAAATACACAACAATGGAGTAAGGAGAAGGAGGCACAGGGGTTCGATACGAAAAATGCGTAAAGCACGAATGAATGCCCTCAAATCCCTATTTATAAGAATTCGAGTATCAAAATCGAGAAATTACGCCATCATTACTCAGAGCTGGTATCAAAACGGCAGGCCCAACCGACAGACGCACGGGAAACGATGCAAGACATCGAGAAAATACGCCATAATGATGCATGATGTCATGACGTCACTCTGGAGTAGAAACGACGTAACCCCAAAAGTTGCGTCTCACGAAAGGCCACGTTATCAGCTCGCCTCAAACATCACTACCTGACCCACTCGTCCAATCTCCTCGACCACAACAAACAGAGTCCGCTCATCAAGGTCGTCTGAGGTCGGCCTCAATAAGAGGAGGGACTAACTGTATAGGTCGAAATCTATCTCAGAATATTAAGGGCGAGGTATCATCGAGGAAAGAGTTAGTCGAGGTCGACCAGGAACAACAAGACTCGTGGTCAAGGCATCAACAACGGTCGAGGTCGAGCACCACAGAAAGAGCTGTAACGGCTAGTTTTTAGAATAAGATATTAAAGAGAATATTCTATTGGATATTCTCGGCACTTGTACTATTAGGGTTTGTTGGGGGTATGTCCCATATAAATAGAAAAAAAAAGATAATGAAAAGGGGCAGATGATATTCATTTGATAAGAACAGACTTATGACAAAGATTCTCTCTCTTGTAAAAATACAAACACTACCTTTTCATTAAGATTCTTGTGCATATTATTCCACATTTTTCCATCAGATCCAAGAACAGTTCGAACATTCTAGGATTTACCTGTCACTCATCATTGTTAGGAGGAAAAATCATCTAGTTCCTTATTTATTGGGGGAACCCCTTCTCCTATTTACTTAAATGCAATTTATTGTTATTTATTGCTAGTTACTTCTCATTATTGCTCATACCTATTTGAATATTTAATGAATGCTATTGTCAATCCTCCACTAGATCTGTTCAACGTTAGCTAAATTTTCGGAACTCACATCTAGAGATATTATCATTAACTAGGTTTAACCCGTCATTACATAAATATAATCGTTTTAACCGAAAGTTATGCTTTTTGGTCAAACAATATCCACCACATAATGCAATATTTTTGGGTCCCAAATAATATTGCCAACAAGGTTTACTTTGTAAATAGACTTATGCTTATGTGAGATGGACTTCACTTGCCAAAATATTGACCATATTACAAATCCGAAATCAAATGTGGGAATTAGTTCCCCGAGATTCTAACAAAAAATATTATCGATTGTAAGAGGATTTATAGAATAAAAAAGAACATCATCGATTCGGTTGGCAAGTATAAAGCTCAATTGATTGGCGAGGAGTAAATCAACGTCTGGTTCTTGACTCGACTATCACTGAACTTTTAATCCATGGTCAAGCCTACAACCGTTCTTGTTGTTTTCAGTTGCAGTTCAGCACAATTGGGTCTTAGATCAAATGAACTTCAACATTGTCTTTTTACAAGGCAAACTTGAAGAAGAGGTCTTTATCAAATATCCTATCTTTTTCATATAAGGTTTTTAAGTCTCACTCGGATCTATCTCTCTTTACTCACCATAACTCTAGTAGTGCTATACTGCTATTTATCATATCATCCTTACAAGAAACAATTCTTCCAAAATTATTGTTTCCACAGTCTGCTGCTAAATGATGGTTCATCAAACTAATAAGGGAAAATGGTCAAAAATACCATATAGCATTACCTTTTGTTGAGGCGGACGCCAAGGTCCCATCTCACCGCCCCCAAGGTCCCACCTCACCGCCCCTAACCCCATTTTATCCTCCTCGCCTCGCTTCTTCTTCCATCACCACTTCCCCTTCACCCAACCACCAAAACCATTACCTCCACATGCAGATAAGCTGAGTGTAATGGCATATTCTAATTATTTACCTTGAAAATGGTATTAACAATTATTTTTGATTTTGTGATTCTAAAAATATGTGATTTATTTCAATACTAGTTGTTTGGCAATAGATGCTAAGTGTGAGTAAAGAGAAACAAGATATGCAAACCAATGTTGTCGCAAGGCTGGGCCTCGAGCTGACTGGAATGGGGGTGGCCTAGTTAGGGCAGTTAGCAATGAACAATTGATGAAGAAACAATGATAACGAAGGCCTTGAAGATAGCCTTTTACGGTTAATAATGGGCAATAAATGAAGAACAATAAATGAGCAATGAATGAACAAGCAATAAATCTATAGAGCAATTGTTGAACACGTTTAGGCAAGAAAAGCAGAGAATGTTTTATTGTATTCAATATTCATGTGTGTTACAAAATGACAACGGTCCCCTTTATATAGGAGGGCGGGGAATCCCAACGTAGTACATGTCTAATAATGACGAGAAAATGCTATTGGTACAGCTGTATAATGGCTCAGTACGGATTTGTACTATTCTTACAGACTTGGTCAGCTCTAACCACGTATCCTTAGGAGCTTTCCCGCCTTTCCATGACGATCATCGATTTCTACTGCTCCGAGATTGACCACAGTGAACCTTCGATATGTTCCCTCGAGACGCACCTCGAGGTCACACTTTATGTTCTGCTTCGAGCTTCTTGAGGTCAGGCGTGGAGTGCCATAGTAGCCCCAAAGTCGAACTCCCCGATTTTGGCTGTATACACTAATTCAAGTATCGGTTCTGTTGCCATCAACGTTGAGTCAATTTATTTTGGCGGAAAGGTTTTATTTTTTCCCCCTTCCTTTGACTCCTATAATGTGTCTGTTTCTTGTATGTGTACTCATAAATAAAGTAAATGGATTGCCTTAATATGTGACTAAATTGGCTAAAATAAATTTCTCAATGAATGGGCGATGCGCTGTTCTCTTTGAACTATTTCTGGGTACGATAATACATTCTGGGTTTACATGTGTAATTATCCATTGTTTGTGCATAGACAACTTTTTTGGGAGTTCTTTAATATGGATCATTGGATTTTAGATCCGTTGATAAAAACTGTTTCCATCTGTCAAGTAATTTTTTGTTTACAAGAAGATTAACGCTTGAAGTATCAGTCAGAGGTTGCAATTTTCTTTTTTCTCTGTGGTCAAATTGCTTTGTTTGACGGCTGCATTTATTTCTTCGACGGCTCATAAAACACATCAGTTTTATCTGTTTTCTTAATTCTCTTTTTCCTTTTTTTTTCCTCCTATTTTCTGATGGCTGAATAGTTCGTGTTGGTGGTGAAGGACGTGCGTTATCGAATTCCTTAAGTATAAACTTTTAGAGCCATTGTCATTTCTTTCGTTATAGAATAGGGCAACAAAAATTGGATCTTGAATGTTGTTTCATCTTCTTTTCTTCTCTTAATTGTTGCAGACTCATTCTATAATTGCCAAATAGTTTTTTATTCTGATTGTTTAACCTTATTGGTTTCTTATAAGTTTCATTGTTCTTTTTTGAGATCAAATGAAGTACTCCTGAATAATGTTGATAACACTAGGACACTGAATTTAGTGTAGGGGGTAGTGGTGAGGTGGCATGCCACTTGGCTCCCACCTCAGCAAAATGTCAGACCATGTAGAATAGTGTTAGCCATGATGGAGAGTTCTAACAGAAAAGGGGTATTTTTCACCAAATTTTTAACATTAGGGGTAGAGATGGGCCGAAAGTTATAACGGATGGCATAAATAATCCTTTTCGCATAATAGAAGGATATTTTTGACAAATTTCTATCATTGCCCATTGTTCTTCAGACTATCGAGCTGTTACTAGTGCTGTTCCTGAGATCACTTGGGTCAAAAATCTTCTCAAAGAATTATCTTCACACCACCTACAATTTTTTGTGAAAACCTTGATGTCATCTACTTATGTGAGAATAACATTCACCTCCACACGTTTGCCAGTAGGTTAACGATACCGCCTTATCTTCAAGCACATTCCTAGATCGACCAGTTAGCTGACACCTACCAAGCCGCTTCTGATAAACTCCTTCCATCGCCATTCGTACAAGCTAGGTGCTTGCACACTGTCTCGCTTGAGGGGGTGTATTATAACGGTACTATGCTTAGGTGCAGTTACAATAGGGGGTGTATTTTCCCTATAGGAGGAGTTCTCTCATAAGGAGTCAGTTATTATCTTGTGTATATATTCAGTTCATTATTTTTCAGTAAATCTTTTGCTTCCTCTCGCCAAATTATTATAGTTAGAGTACACTTGCAAGATGTCACTTACATGAAGTAAAGATTGGGTGGAGATTGTACATTTCCAACAACAATCTAAACTGGGTATTTCCTTGTTATTACATTGATGGAAATGGATTAAGCCTAGCCACTGGAATACAATTCAAAGGATGAGCTCTAGGAAGAGTGAAGCCAGTTCCCTCTTCCATGTCCACTTTACCATTCACTCCACCACTAACCTTCCATTCAAAGCACTGAATCATGACAGCAAGGCTTGTTTGAACTACTTGCAATGCTAATGAAGTTCCAGGACAACTTCTTCGCCCGCTCCCAAACGGAAGAAACTGGTAGTGCTGGCCCCTGACATCCAATTGACCTCTTGTGTTCCCGTCTTCACTGAGAAATCTTTCTGGTTTAAATTCAAGTGGATTTTCCCAATAGTTTGGATCCCTATTAATAGCCCAAACATTGACAAATAGTCCGGTCTTTGCCGGTATATGATAGCCTCCAATGGAACAATCTTGACTTGATTCTCTACCAATTATCGGAGTAGTAGGATGTAGTCTCAGAGTTTCTTTAACTATGGCTTGAAGATAGGGGAGGTTTGTGATGTCTAATTCTTCAATAAGTCGGTTCTTTCCAATAACAGTATCGATTTCTTCTACTGCTTTCTGCATAATGCTTGGATGGTTAATCAGCTCTGCAAGTGCCCACTCTGTTGTGAGTGCTGAGGTATCAGTGCCAGCAGCAAATATGTCCTGTTAAAAAATGAATCCAATCCACAATTTTTAGTCGTGTTGAACGAGAAAATTAAGTAAGATATATGGACGTAACAATACAGCAAATGATTTTATCATCATCAGAATTCTTTTAAGTATTCTGAATAGTCTACAAGTTACTGATATTCAAATTTTATCACAATGAAAGAGCTTGAGAAAGATGCCAACTTATTAATTAACAATTCAATGATAATTGGTGACAAAGTAGCAATAAAAATCATATTCTGTTCCTAAATGAACTGTTTGATTATTGTGATATTTTCAAGATATTTGACATTCATCTCATTGCTTAGGCACGGGTTGTTTAGGGCTAGTCGTTGTTCCTAGATTGCTAGTATTATGGCTATTTCTTACTATCTTCCCCTTCGGTTTTCTGGTATCTTGTCGTAGTTACTGTTTGTTGCTATTGCTAGTACTATTGCTTCTTCCATCTATTTTTTCTAGTTCTTACGTTGTTGTTATCATTTTTCTGGCTATTGTTATTGATATTTGATTGCTTTCTATTCCTCCTCTCGAACCGAGGGTCTTTCCGTCTTTCGGAAACAGACTCTCTACCTCCCCATGGTAGGGCTAAGGTCTGCGTACACACTACCCTCCCCAAATCCCACTTGTGAGATTTAACTGGGTTTGTTGTTGTTGTATTATCTCACTGCTTAAGCCGGCAAAGTAGCTATTCATCCCAAGAGCTTAAAGTTTAGATGCATTTGATTATTGTTAATTGTTGTTGTTCATGAACAGATTATAATTGAATCTTCAAATATTTCATGTTATACTATCTTTAGTCGTTTCATATGAACATTGGCAGTAGCTAATCTTTCTTTTTCTTTTTCTTCTGATACATTAAGGCCAACAAAACATTTAAAGTTAATTTCGCATATGGTCATTGAGCTTTATCCACTATAACAGAGTAGAAACTTACCAGAATGAAAGCCTTGATGTGCTCTCTTGTCAGTCTCATCTCTGCGTGTTCATCGTCTGCTATATCGAGAAGAATATCAAGAAGATCTTTCACGAATTCACTTCCATCGTTGCTTTGATATCTCGTCCTTCTTACCTCGTTGTGTTCCTTGATGATCCTCTCGATCATCTGATCAAACCTTGCGCGAAGATCCTTGACTCTCTTTCCAAAACCTTGTAAATCTAAGTTCTTACAAAACCAAATATAATCCGACAGGTTAAATTTCCCAGAGAGTTCAGCTATCTCTTGAATCAGTTTCTTTACACTCCCAGCTTCATTTTCATTTTCCGAACACCTTTCCCTCATTAGCATTCTTGAAATTACATTATTTGTAACCCTCAGAAGCTCAGCTTCTACATCTATTGTCTCCCCTGCTTTAGCCTTTTGTAACAATAACTCGACGAAACATCTTATTTCATCGCGTCTTACAGGAAGAAGCAGGTCTAATGTACGACCACCAAGGAGTTCAGACATGATTATTTTTTTCATGAATTTCCAATAAGGTCCATAAGGTGCAAATAAGAAGTCTTGGGATCCATAAGTCAAGTAGTCTACAATAGCTGTTTGTGGTCGATTTAGAAAGGATGTTTCATGAGTTTTTAAGAATTTTTTGGCCATTTCAGGTGATGAAACAACAACATAAGGCACAGAGCCAAGCATTATGTGGATCAATGGTCCATACCTGTTTGAAAGTTTGAAGAGTGCCTGGTGAGGAATCGGAGCAAGAAGGTGAAGGTGACCGATGATTGGTAAAGCAAACGGGCTTGGAGGAAGGCGAGAATTCGTTCTGTTTCTGAATAGAAACCAGAGAAATATGCAAGAAGCTAGCCAAATATAGAAGATCAACAAGTAGCCTTGGATGTCAGCCATACTTTGTAGCTTAAACAAGAGTCACAAGATTGACTTTGCTATTGCTTCTGCAGCTATTTATATGATCAAGACATGATGAATTGCTTATTTTCTAGGGTCTTCTAATTTCTAAAATTTGAGTCAAAGACAAAAATAAAAGAAAAAGCACGCTACTCAATAGAAGCTGTCAACTAGGTCATGGGCAATCACTGGTATTTGCGAGATTGCATTAACTCGTATTGTTTTCTAGTGTTATTTTAATATATTTCCAGTAGGCAAGTTGCTCACATACCTATAGGACAAGGTCAACTCAGTAAAAAAAAATAAAAGAAAAAAAACTAACAAAGAATTAGGACATAGACTACCTCACAACGTGATTGAAGGAAAATTGAGGAATTGAGAAATAAAAAGGAAAGACAGCAACATTAACTTAAAAGAAAAAGCTAAAATTACTGCTAAGACAATAAATAAAGTGAGGAGCCTTGCTCTTTGATAGTGTTCTTGTTAGAAATTTCGGGTTGGGAGCACTCTCAATTAATCACTTTATCATGAAGACAAATGGACAAGAGTATTCTTCCGTGTTTTTTCCAACTTGGTTTAAATAAAATGTCTATAGTATCTAAATACTTATAGAAAAAGAGTGCTAAGTATAACCTTATAAAATTACCTCGTATAAGTCAAATGATAATACAAGAAGTTATTTTGGCTGGCCAAGGCGAGAGAGAAGAAGGCTCGTGACCTGAACCAAGTGAGGTGCATCAAAGACGATGAAGGCAGAGTATTGATGGAAGAGGTCCAGATTAAGCGGAGATGGCAGACTTACTTTCATAGACTTTTGAATGAAGATGGGGACGTAGACACTATGCTACAAGAATTGGGGCACTCCGAGAGTCACCAAGACTTTAGGTACTGTAGGCGTATTAAGGCTGAGGAGGCCGTGGGAGCTATGCGCAAGACGAGTAGGGGCAGATCGAACTGGCCGGACGAAATTCTGGTGGAATTTTGGAGGTGTGTGGGGAGAGCAGGCTTGGAATGAAGACTGCGCTATTTAATGTTATTTTCAGGATGAAGAGGATACCAGATGAATGGAGGTGGAGTATGATGATACCGCTGTACAAGAACAAAGGTAATATCTAAAATTGTAACAACTATAGGGGTATCAAGTCACTAAGTCATACCATGAAAGTTTGGGAGAGGGTGGTGGAAGGGAGGGTGAGGAGGGTGGTGTCCATATCTGACAACCGATTCGGGTTCATGCCGGGTCGTTCAATTATGGAAGGTATGTATACGGCGAAAACGGAGGGTCCAATTTCTCGTCATTAAGGCACTCGAAAGATCACCGCGAAGGCTCGAGGCCGCGAGATCACCTCGAAGGCTCGAGGCCGCGGGATCGCCTCGAAGGCTCGAGGCCGCGACCGAATATCTTTCCTCGAGGGTCGACAACACTCGACCCCAAGGTAGTAATGATCACGGTAATGGTGGAAATGGGGAGTTCCCAAGGCACGCAGGCTAAGTCTGACACAGTCTAGCGGGCTACTCTGAACCCGAATCAGGGCGTCATTCAGCCGTCCCATCCCCGTATCTATGTAATTAATGTATTTTATACTATGTGGGGATTCCCCTCCTATATAAAGGGAGTCCTTGTCATTTTGTAAGGTTCTGTTGCTTCAGCTGCTCCACAAGAAATATAAAACAACATTCTCTCTTCTTGCTAACATATTCGCTTGATATTACTGCTTCCATTTATTATCTTCATTATTGTTCATCATTTATTGCTTATCATTGGCCATAAAGAGCCTCTTTGATTTTATCATAACTGTTAGTCATACTTCGATTACCTTCGATAGCTCACCGTCGAGCCCCGGAATCGACCTCGAGGCCCCCGAACCGACAAGCTCGAGGCCCGATTGTTAACATATCGGTTTGATCATCACCTTATCCTTAACTCTTATTTCGTTCCTAAGTCTCACATACATAGCATCAACTGCTTAACAACCGGCATAAAATAGATCACGTATTTTTAGAGTCCCATAATCAAATTTAATTGTTGTTACTATTTTCACGGTAAACAGTTTGACACCCACCGTGGGGCTAAAAATAATAGTGATTATTTTCTTGTTGGTTCCATTACACAATGCAAGTTACCTTTCACGCTTTTTCTTGTCCAAAGATCTTTGATTTCAGGTCGGAATGTCTGATTCAGTAAACAATAACCTTGAGAACCACGGAGAGAATGGTGTAGACATTCCATACCTGTTTGAAAGCTTGTGAAGTGCCTGGTGAGGAATCGGAGCAAGAAGCTGCAGGTGACCGATGATTGGTAAAGTAAACGGGCTTGGAGGAAGGCGAGAATTCGTTCTGTTTTTGAATAGAAACCAGAGAAATATGCAAGAAGCTAGCCAAATATAGAAGATCAACAAGTAGCCTTGGATATTATCCATTCTTTGCAGCTTAAAGAAGAGTCACAAGATTGACTTTGCTATTGCTTCTGCAGCTATTTATGTCGGAAAAAAATTGGTTGATTATGGAGAATAAAGGTTTAGCTTGAGTCGTGTCAAAGATACTGTCCTTAAGGATATTTCGCCCACACCGTGATGAATAAAATTAGGCGTATCCTCCAGAATTCAACAAGCTCTTCTAGTATAACTAGGAGCAGAAACAACAAAGATTGTATTAAGCAAAAACCCAGCACAAAAGAAAAGAAGAAGTTTTTCACACACACTTTCAAATGAATAAGAAGATATATTTATATGTATTCCAAAAGTTAATTGATCTGATGAACGTTAAAGCCATTAAGGCTTAACCAAAACGTCAAAGTCATTAAATGTATTAGATGCCAAAACGTAAAGCCATTGAAAGCTATCAATTGTCAACCATTTTGTAATTGAAAAATACTCCATCAGTTATATATCTATCAAGACCAATTAATATTATATTAGAATAATGAACCTAGACATGATTGTAAATATTCTTTTTGAGATATTAAAATATTTTTTCTTAACAATCCCCCACATAGCTCAAAAAGAATATTAAAAAATAGAATAAATAAAGAGTTTGCTGGGTTTTTGAGCATAATGCGTCGAATCTGGTGTCTCTTGGACTATGAACCAGACCTAGATAAAATAAAATTAAACTTACAGAACAATTGGTGAAGTTTAAAACTTCTATGAACCAAGAATCTTTTGTAAGTCTAGTGTCTTATCTATCACATTATACCCGCACACACTTTGTTGTTTGTCGCGGTTTTGCGCTAATAGGCCATGCGCGCGCCTGGTTTTCATGAGTGCTCTAGAAATTTCGCCACAAATTTCATAGGAGCGGCCCCACTCCACACTCATATAGGTGCATCCATCAAATATATTCTGCAGCACAATACACCACCTATCAAAGGCTATGGATTATTAGATTAAGAGTTTAATAACTCAACCTTCCATTCCTTGCAGTTTTGCACTATATATACACACACACCATAGGAAGGGACATAATTTAATAATGCACATTTGATCAACTAATGACTTGTTATTACCCATATGAACCTATTTCATGGGATCTCCAATCACATAGGTTGGGTTACCATCATAGTTGATATAACTCAAATTGGCAAAAGTCCCATTCCCCTCGATGTTTCAGATATTAATTTTCTTCCCAAAGGTTTAGTCAGAGGATCAGCCAAATTCACTTCTGACTTCACATAATCTATGAAAATAATTCCATCTCTCAACAGCTGCTTTATCACATTATGTCTCAATCGGATATGTCTACTTTTTCCATTAAAGGATTTATTTTTGGCAATGGCTATTGCAGCTTGGCAATCACAATGCATCGACACAGAAGGTGTCGGTTTAGTTTCTAGTGGAATACTCGCCAAAAGGTTCTTTAACCACTCGGCCTCATTGCCAGCTAATTCCAATGCCACAAACTCAGATTCCATGGTAGATCTAGCTACTATTGTTTGTTTAGCTGATTTCCATGCCACAACACCCCCATCGAGGGTGAACACATAACCACTAGTGGATTTTGTCTCATCTGAATCAGAGATCCAGTTAGCATCACTGTATCCTTCTAGTATAGTGGAAAATCCACTATATTAAATACGATAGTTCATGGTACCTCTCAAATATTTCATTACTCTTACTAATGCATTCCAATGATCATGACTTGGGTTTTGAGTATATCTACTCAATCTACACACAGCATATGCAATATCAGGTCTAGTAAAATTCATCAAATGCATTAGACTAGCAATAATTTGAGCAAATTTATTTTGATCTATAGCATCTCCTTTATTCTTTTTTAATTGACTACTAGCATCATAAGGAGTGCTTACAGGTACCACATCAAAATTATCAATTTTTTTAAGAATTCTTTCAACATAATGTTCTTGAGTCAACATCAAACTATTGCCACCTCTTATAAATTTCATGTCTAAAATAACACTAGCTTTTCCCATGTCTTTCATCCCAAAATTAGAAGACAAGAAAAATTTGGTTTTATGTACCAAATCAAGGCTAGAACTAAAAATAAGCATGTCATCCACATAAAGGCAAATAATAACACATGTACCATCTACGCATTTTGTATAAACACATTTATCTACTTCAATTGATGAAAACCCATCATTAATCAATACTTGATCAAATTTTTTATGCCACTGTTTAGGTGCTTGCTTTAGACCATATAAAGATTTTAGCAATTTACATACTTTATTTTCTTGGCCAGACACTATACAACCCTCAGGTTGCTTCATGTAAATTTCCTCTTCCAAATCACCATTTAAAAATGCAGTTTTAACATCCATTTGGTGAATAAAAAGTTTATAAATAGAAGCCAAGGCAAGTAAAACACGAATTGAGGAAATTCTAGTTACAGGAGCATAAGTATCAAAATAATCAACATTTTGCTTTTGGGTAAAACCTTTTGCAACAAGTCTAGCTTTGTATTTATCAATGGAACCATCCGGATTGAGTTTCTTCTTAAAAATCCATTTACAACCAATGGGTTTAGCTCCCGGAGGTAAATCAACTAAAATCCAAGTTTTATTTTGTAAAATTGAATTTAATTCTACATCAATAGCTTCTTTCCAAAATGAGGTATCAGACGAAGAAATAGCTTCAGAGTATGTTAAAGGATCATTATCCACAAGATAAGTATAAAAATCATTACCAAAAGATTTTTCTTTACTTGGTCTTTTGCTTCTTCTTAAATCCTCACTTTCAAAATCATTTTGAATAACTGGAACATGTGAAATATTATCACTTGGAATAATAG